GTCCCGGAGGGTCCGTAGAAAAATATGGGACTCGGGCATATGCCCGGAGTCGAATTCCGAGGTCTAAAGCCCGAGAAAAGAATTTTTCTGTGAAATTGTTTTTCTGAAATTATTAAGGAAAATGGAAATAAAAATTGATTGAAAGGCTGTGGTATCGGGCTCGTATTTTGGTTCCGACGCCCGGTACAAGTCTTATATATGGTTTAAGCGCTTCCTGTGAAATTTGGTCAAAATCGGACGTCATTTGACGTGTTTCGGACCTAAATACCTAAAATATGAAGTTTATGAAGTTAGAATGAAAAATGATGATATTGAGGATTGATTCATTGATTTTGATGTTGTTTTGGCGATTTGATCGCTCGGTTAAGTTCGTATGAGATTGTTCAGTTAGTGTGTGTGTTTGGTTAGGAGCCCCGAGGGCTCGGGAGTGATTCGGAGGTGGTTCGGGATGTTTTTGGCCTTAGAGAAAGTTGCAGAAAATCTGCAATTTTTGCACAGTTGTTCCCTCCTTTGCGATCGCAATATTCAGCCCGCGTTCGCGTTCCTTTGGCTTTTTCCTCTTCCGCGTTCACGTACTCGGTCACGCGATCGCATAGCTTCAGCATTTCCTTCAATGTGTTCGCACCAGTAGACTCGCGTTCGCATAGACAAAACTTTTGGATCCCCAGTATTTCTTCTACGCGTTCGCATTACCATCCACGCGATCGCGATGACCAGTCAGTGGGACCTTTCGCGATCGCATCCCTATTTCCGCGATCGCGTAGGGCAAATTCGCCCAGTTATTTTTAAAGCCTAAAAACAGACCAGTAGCGGGATTTTTCACCCAAAACACACAAGTTCATCTTCTCCACAGCACATAGGCGATTTTTGGAGCTATCCTTCACCAAAGCTTCTTGGGTAAGTATTATCTAACTCGTTTTCTTCATTTTCTATCATCATTTATCAAATTCCTAGACCTAAATCATGTAATTTAGGGTAGAAATTGGGGGAAATAGGTAGAGTTAGGGCTTTTTGATTTTTCTTGATTTAGACCTCGTTTTGGGTCGAATTTGAAAACAAATTATATATTCGGGCTCGTGGGTGAATGGGTGATATGAATTTGGTTCGAACCTCGTGTTTTGACCAAGCGGACTCGGGGTCGATTTTTGGAATTTTGGGAAGAAAGCTTAGAAATTCATATTTAGGCATTGGGTTTAGTTTGTTTAGCTATTATTAATATTGTAAAGTCGTTATTTCATAGATTTGACTGAGTTGGAGCCGAATTTAAGGGGTAAAGCTACACTAGAGGCTTTAGTTGATTTTGGAGCATTTGAGGTAAGTGTTTGATCTAACTTTGGCTTGAGGGAATAGAATTAGAGTATTATTTGCTAATTGCTAAATGTTGAGTACGGTGTATAGGCATGGTGACGAGTATCTATACACCGGTGTCTAGCATGACCGTGGGTCTTTATTTGTGCTTAATTGGGATTCTGTAGTGACTCTTCTTTGTTAATTGATGGTTTCTATATGATATGAAGAGAATGAGAAGGAAACATGATGTGTAAAGTCTTTGGAGCGTTGGCTCGTTTTTTGACTCGATTAAAAAGTAAGAAATGAATGTAAGAGAAAGAAATGTGATTATTCCCTTGCCGGGACGTGTAAGTTATTGTTGTTGCTCCCTTGCCGGGATTTAACTGCTTAGTCGTATTCTCCCTTGCCGGAAAACCACTTATATATTATGAAATGGGATCGTGTGGCACACCGACCACTTATATATTATGAAATGGGATCGTGTGGCACGCTGACCACTTATATATTATGAAATGGGATCGTGTGGCACGCCGACCACTTATATATTATGAAAAGGGGATCGTGTGGCACGCCGACCACTTATATACTATGAAATGGGATTGTGTGGCACGCCGACCACTTATATAGATTATGAGATCTGATGTAGTTTCGTGTTTTCTTCTGATAAGTTGTTTTCATCTGTATTTTCCCTAAGCATGTCCCCCTTCCCGCCTTAATTGGTATTTTCTGTTGTTATTTCGTTGCACTTGTATATACATATATATCTGCACAGGTTGTTTTTGGTAGGTCATGTCTAGCCTCATCACTACTTCGCCGGGGTTAGGCCAGGCACTTACCAGCACATGGGTTCGGTTGTGCTGATGCTACACTCTGTGCATCTTTTTGCACAGATCCAGGAGCAGCTTTTTGGCCTCAGCAGTAGGATTTGATCGGGAGCTGACTTCAGTCCAGGGACTTTCGAGGTAGCCTAGCTGACGTCCGCAGGCCGGAGTCCCTTCTATGTTATTAGTTTGTTTTCCTTGTACCGAGACAAACATTGATGTACTTCTATTCTGACTTGTTTTTAGCGCTCTTTAGTAGTTCGTGAGTTAGTGACACCGGATCTGGGTAGAGTTGTATTTAAACTTTCGCATTTGGTTTTCAGTTATCTATGTTTTTAAGACTTCTATTTTTATTTAAATGACTCGTTTTATTTATATCGTTGAGATGTTATCAGAAAATGTTTTAATACTTGGCTTGCCTAGCTCCGACAGTAGGCGCCATCACGACTCCTGATGGTGGGAAATCCGGTTTGTGACAAGTTGGTATCAGAGCACTAGGTTACATAGGTCTCGCTACTTACGGATAAACTTAGCAGAGTCTGAGGGATCGGTATGGAGACGTCTGTATTTATCCCCCAGAGGCTACGGAGTTAGGAAATTTCCACTTTGTTCTTTCTTGTCGTGCGATTCTATTTCTCAAATACTGATTGTCTTTCTACTATGTTCTTTCGCAGATGGCGAGAACACGTGCTTCCTCTTCTACCGCGCAGCAGCCCGAGCCCCCAGCAGCAGCTCCTACGAGGGGCAGAAGGCGAGGCCATGCCAGAGGCCGAGGCAGGGGCAGAGCTCAGCCCCGAGCAGCAGTCCCAGAGGTGGAGCCTCATACTGATTATGATGAGGAGGTTCCAGCCCCAGCAGCTCCGGTGGGCCCAGCTCAGGTCCCAGAGGGGTTCATAGCCACCCAGTTCTTCAGGACGCTCTGGTCAGATTGGTAGGCTTTATGGAGAGCGTCACTAGAGCGGGTTTGCTTCCAGTAGCACCAGCCACTTCTCAGGCTGGAGGAGGAGTTCAGACTCCTGCTACACGTACTCCGGAGCAGGTAGCTCCCCAAGCTCAAGTTCTAGTGGTTCAACCAGCTGTGGCAGTTCAGCCGGGTATTGTGACTCAGACCGGCGATGGAGCGGCTATGTCCGCAGATGCGTTGTGGAGACTGGATAGGTTCACCAAGCTCTTCACCACCACATTCAGCGGTGCTTCTTCAGAGGACCCCCAGGATTTCTTGTATAGCTGCCATGAGGTTCTTCGGACTATGGGTATTGTGGAGACCAATGGGGTCGACTTCGCCACTTTTCGTCTAGCAGGATCTGCCAAGACTTGGTGGAGAGACTATTGTTTATCCAGACCAGCAGGGTCGCCATCATTGACTTGGGACCAGTTTGCAGAGTTGTTTTTGGAGAAGTTTCTCCCAGTTACTCAGCGAGAGGCTCTTCGCAGGCAGTTCGAGCGCCTCCAGCAGGGCTCTATGACAGTCACGCAGTATGATACTCGGTTCATTGATCTAGCACGCCATGCTATTGTTATACTCCCCACCGAGAGAGAGAGGGTGCGGAGGTTTATTGATGGGTTGATTCAGCCGATCCATCTCCAGGGGAGGTGGTCATGGGTCAGATAAGAGGCCCCGTCATACAGGTAGATTCAGTGGTACCTCATCTGGAGGTGGAGATTCTTATGGTAGAGGCCATCCTCCGAGGCCCTTTCAGTCAGCCCTACAGGTCTCACATGGTACTTCAGGTGGTCGTGCTCTCAGCCGCAGTCTTCTGATCAGCAGCTTTTCAGTTCGCCATCAGCACCCATCAGCGCACCACCACTCCGCTATTCTCAGCAGCCGAGGGCTTGTTACACGTGTGGCGACACGAGGCACATTTCTAGGTTTTGCCCTCGAGCTTCGGACAGCTCTCAGCAGCAGGGTCCTCGCCCTATGATTCAGGAATCAGGTGATCCACAGGCCGCCCAGCCAGCTAGAGGCGGGGGTAGAGGCCATAGAGGTGGAGGTAGGGACCATAGAGGTAGAGCCCGGACCGCCAGAGGTAGAGGACAGCCAGCAGCCGATCGTCCCAGAGATATGGTTCAGGGAGGTGGGGCCCAGCCCCGGTGTTATGCTCTTCCAGCCAGGCCAGAGGCTGAGTCTTCAGATGCAGTCATTACAGGTACTATTCTGGTCTGTAATAGGGATGCTTCAGTGCTATTTGACCCTGGGTCTACGTATTCATATGTGTCGTCCTATTTTGCACCCTACTTGGTTATGCCTAGTGATGCCTTGGGTGTTCCTGTATATGTATCTACACCAGTGGGTGATTCTATAGTGGTCGACGGAGTTCATCGTTCCTGTGTGGTAGTGTTTGAGGGTCTTGAGACCCGTGTTGATTTATTGCTCTTAGACATGGTGGATTTCGATGTTATATTAGGGATGGATTGGTTGTCCCCGTATCATGCTATCTTGGATTGTCACGCCAAGACCGTGACCTTGGCTTTGCCAGATTTGCCCCATTTGGAGTGGCGAGGGACCCCAGGTCATGCCACTCGCAGTGTTATCTCATATGTGAAGGCTCGACGCATGGTCGAAAAGGGGTGTTTAGCCTATCTGGCGTATGTTCGTGATTCCAGCGCAGAGGTCCCTTCTATTGATTCTGTTCCTATTGTTCGGGAGTTCCCCGAGGTTTTCCCTTCAGACCTGCCGGATATGCCGCCCGACAGGGATATAGATTTCTGTATTGACCTGGCCCCAGGCACGCAGCCCATTTCCATTCCGCCGTATCGCATGGCCCCGACAGAGTTGAAAGAGTTAAAGGACCAGTTGCAAGATTTGTCAGAGAAGGGTTTCATCAGACCCAGCGTTTCGCCTTGGGTTGCGCCAGTGTTATTTGTGAAGAAAAGGATGGATCGATGAGGATGTGCATTGATTACCGGCAATTGAACAAAGTGACGATAAAGAACAAGTATCCACTGCCGAGGATTGATGATTTGTTCGACCAGCTTCAGGGTGCAAAGGTGCTTTCAAAGATAGACTTGAGATCTGGCTACCACCAGCTGAGGATTAGGGCATCCGATGTCCCTAAGACAGCATTCCGCACTCGGTACGGGCATTATGAGTTCCTGGTCATGTCGTTTGGGTTGACCAATGCCCCAGCAGCGTTCATGGAGTTGATGAACCGAGTGTTCAGGCCATATTTGGACATGTTCGTGATAGTCTTTATTGATGATATTCTAGTGTACTCCCGCAGCCAGGAGGAGCACGAGCAGCACCTCAGAGTGGTTCTTCAGACTCTGAGGGATAGTCACTTATATGCCAAGTTCTCCAAGTGTGAGTTCTGGTTGAGTTCGCTTGCATTTCTGGGTCACGTTGTATCAGCAGAGGGTATTCAGGTGGACCCGAAGAAGATAGAGGCAGTCAAGAACTGGCCTCGACCAGCATCCGCTACAGAGATTTGGAGTTTCTTGGGGTTGGCAGGCTACTACAGACGGTTCGTGGAGGGGTTTTCATCTATTGCAGCCCCGATGACCAGATTGACCCAGAAGGGTGCCCAGTTCAGATGGTCAGATGAGTGTGAGGCGAGCTTTCAGAAGCTCAAGGCAGCTCTGACTACGGCACCGGTATTGGTTTTGCCCACAGGTTCAGGGCCTTATACAGTCTATTGTGATGCTTCCCGTATTGGACTTGGTGCAGTATTGATGCAGGATGGCAGAGTCATTGCTTATGCTTCGAGGCAGTTGAAGATCCACGAGAAGAATTATCCGGTTCATGATCTAGAGTTGGCAGCCATTGTTCATGCTTTGAAGATTTGGAGGCATTACCTATATGGTGTGACGTGTGAGGTGTACACTGATCACAAGAGTCTGCAGTACTTGTTCAAGCAGAAGGAGTTGAACTTGAGGCAGAGGAGGTGGTTGGAGCTATTGAAGGATTATGATGTTACTATTTTGTATCACCCGGGGAGAGCCAATGTGGTGGCCGATGCATTGAGTAGGAAGTCCGCCAGCATGGGTAGTCTTGCTTATATTTCGGTCAGCCAGAGACCGCTTGCTTTGGATATTCAGGCCCTGGCCAATCGGTTTGTGAGGTTGGACATTTCTGAGCCTAGCAGAGTGTTAGCTTGTACGGTCGCTCGTTCTTCATTATTGGAGCGTATCCATGATCGGCAGTTTGATGATCCCCATTTGTGTGTCCTGAGAGACACGGTGCAGCGTGGAGGTGCCACGAAGGTGACCTTAGATGATGATGGTGTTTTGAGGTTGCAGGGGCGAGTTTGTGTGCCCAATGTCGATGGGATTCGAGAGTTGATCTTAGCGAGGCCCATAGTCTCGGTATTCTATTCACCCGGGCACCGCGAAGATGTATCAGGACTTGCGGCAGCATTATTGGTGGCGTAGGATGAAGAAAGATATTGTTGCATATGTGGCTCGATGTTTGAACTGTCAGCAGGTTAAGTATGAGCATCAGAGGCCTGGTGGTTTGTTTCAGAGGATTGAGCTTCCCGAGTGGAAGTGGGAGAGGATTACTATGGATTTCGTTACTGGACTCCCGATGACTCGGAAGAAGTTTGATGCTATTTGGGTCATTGTTGATAGGCTGACCAAGTCAGCGCATTTTATTCCTGTTGCAGCCACTTATTCATAGGAGAGGTTAGCTGAGATCTACATCCGAGAGATTGTTCGCCTTCATGGGGTGTTGGCATCTATCATTTCGGACCGGGGTACGTAGTTTACCTCGCGCTTCTGGAGAGCAATTCAGCAGGAGTTGGGCACCCAGGTTCAGTTGAGCACAGCATTTCATCCCTAGACGGACAGTCAGTCCGAGAGGACCATTCAGATATTGGAGGATATGCTCCGAGCCTGTGTCATTGATTTTGGAGGCTCGTGGGACCAGTTTTTGCCTTTAGCAGAGTTCTCCTACAACAACAGCTACCAGTCTAGCATCCAGATGGCTCCATATGAGGCGTTGTATGGTAGGCGATGTCGGTCTCCAGTTGGATGGTTTGAGCCGGGAGAGGCTCGGTTATTGGGTACAGATTTAGTTCAGGAGGCCTTGGCTAAGGTCAAGATCATTCAGGACAGGCTTCGTTCGGCTCAGTCGCGGCAAAAGAGTTATGCGGATCGTAAGGTTCGGGATGTAGCTTTCATGGTTGGTGAGCGGGTCTTGCTCCGAGTGTCGCCTATGAAGGGCGTGATGAGATTTGGGAAGAAGGGCAAGCTTAGCCCCAGGTTCATTGGTCCATTTGAGATTCTCGATCGTGTGGGAGAGGTGGCTTATAGGCTTGCCTTGCCGCCTAGCTTGTCAGCCGTGCATCCAGTGTTTCATGTGTCCATGCTTCGGAGGTATCACGACGATCCAGCTCACGTATTAAATTTAAGCACTGTCCAGTTGGACAAGGATCTGTCTTATGAGGAAGAGCCGGTAGCTATTCTAGACCGGCAGGTTCGACGGTTGAGGTCGAAGAGTTTTCCTTCAGTGCGTGTCCAGTGGAGAGGTCAGCCTCCTGAGGCATCGACCTGGGAGTCCGAGTTTGATATGCGGAGCCGTTATCCCCATCTATTTCCCGACTCAGGTACTTCATTCTTTTGTCAGTTCGAGGACGAACGGTTATTTTAGAGGTGGAGAATGTGACGACCCAAAGGATCATCACCTGTTTTCTCTCTCATTCCGTGCTTCCGAGGCCTTGAAAACCTTATTTTTTACTTGCCTCGATTTGCGTGCGCAGTCCGGGCGCGTAGCCGGAAAGATTATATGTTAAATTCTGTGAAAAATTTTAAAATGTGGCTTTAAAATGATTAAAGTTGACTTTGGTCGACATTTTTGGTAAACGTACCCAGACCCGTGATTTGACATTCCCGGAGGGTCCGTAGAAAAATATGGGACTCGGGCATATGGACGGAGTCGAATTCCGAGGTCTAGAGCCCGAGAAAAGAATTTTTCTACGAAATTGTTTTTCTGAAATTATTAAGGAAAATGGAAATGAAAATTGATTATAAGGCTGTGGTATCGGGCTCGTATTTTTGTTCCGACACCTGGTACAAGTCTTATATATGGTTTAAGCGCTTCTTGTGAAATTTGGTCGAAATCGGACGTCATTTGACGTGTTTCGGACCTAAATATCTAAAATTTGAAGTTTATGAAGTTAGAATGAAAAATGATGATTTTGAGGGTTGATTCATTGATTTTGATGTTGTTTTGGCGATTTGATCGCTCGGTTAAGTTCCTATGAGGTTGTTGAGTTAGTGTGTGTATTTGGTTAGGAGCCCCGAGGGCTCGGGAGTGATTTGGAGGTAGTTCGGGATATTTTTGGCCTTAGAGAAAGTTGCAGAAAATCTGCAATTTTTGCACAGTTGTTCCCTCCTTCGCGATTGCAATATTCAGCACGCGTTCGCGTTCCTTTGGATTTTTCCTCTTCCGCGTTCGCGTACTCGGTCACGCGATCGTATAGCTTCAGCATTTCCTTCAATGCGTTCGCACCAGTAGACTCGCGTTCGCATAGACCAAACTTTTGGACCCCTAGTATTTCTTCTACGCGTTCGCGTTACCATCCACGCGATCGCGATGACCAGTCAGTGGGACCTTTCGCGATCGCATCCCTATTTCCGCGATCGCGTAGGGCAAATTCGCCAAGTTATTTTTAAAGCCTAAAAACAGACCAGTAACGGGATTTTTCATCCAAAACACACGAGTTCATCTTCTCCACAGCACATAGGCGATTTTTAGAGCTATCCTTCACCAAAGCTTCTTGGGTAAGTATTATCTAACTCGTTTTCTTCATTTTCTATCATCATTTATCAAATTCCTAGACCTAAATCATGTAATTTAGGGTAGAAATTGGGGGAAATGGGTAGAGTTAGGGCTTTTTGATTTTTCTTGATTTAGACCTCGTTTTGGGGTCGAATTTGAAAATAAATTATATATTCGGGCTCGTGGGTGAATGGATGATATGAATTTGGTTCGAACCTCGTGTTTTGACCAAGTGGGACCGGGGTCGATTTTTGGAATTTTGGGAAGAANCTCTTGCACGGGGAGGTGGTCATGGGTCAGATAAGAGGCCCCGTCATGCAGGTAGATTCAGTGGTACCTCATCTGGAGGTTGGGATTCTTATGGTAGAGGCCATCTTCCGAGGCCCGTTCAGTCAGCCCTACAGGTCTCACATGGTACTTCAGGTGGTCGTGGCTCTCAGCCGCAGTCTTCTGACCAGCAGCTTTTCAGTTCACCATCAGCACCTATCAGCGCACCACCACTCCGTTATTCTCAGCGGCCGAGGGCTTGTTACACGTGTGGCGACACGAGGCACATTTCTAGGTTTTGCCCTCGAGCTTCGGACAGCTCTCAGCAGCAGGGTCCTCGCCCTATGATTCAGGCATCAGGTGATCCACAGGCCGCCCAGCCAGCTAGAGGCGGGGGTAGAGGCCATAGAGGTAGAGGTAGGGACCATAGAGTTGGAGGCCAGCCAGCAGCCGATCGTCCCAGAGATATGGTTCAGGGAGGTGGGGCCCAGCCCCGATGTTATGCTCTTCCAGCCAGGCCAGAGGCTGAGTCTTCAGATGCAGTCATTACAGGTACTATTCTGGTCTGTAATAGGGATGCTTCAGTGCTATTTGACCCTGGGTCTACGTATTCATATGTGTCGTCCTATTTTGCACCCTACTTGGTTATGCCTAGTGATGCCTTGGGTGTTCCTGTATATGTATCTACACCAGTGGGTGATTCTATAGTGGTCGACCGAGTTCATCGTTCCTGTGTGGTAGTGTTTGAGGGTCTTGAGACCCGTGTTGATTTATTGCTCTTAGACATGGTGGATTTCGATATTATATTAGGGATGGATTGGTTGTCCCCGTATCATGCTATCTTGGATTGTCACGCCAAGACCCTGACCTTGGCTTTACCAGATTTGCCCCGTTTGGAGTGGCGAGGGACCCCAGGTCATGCCACTCGCAGTGTTATCTCATATGTGAAGGCTCGACGCATGGTCGAGAAGGGGTGTTTAACTTATCTGGCGTATGTTCGCGATTCCAGCGCAGAGGTCCCTTCTATTGACTCTGTTCCTATTGTTCGGGAGTTCCCCGAGGTTTTCCCTTCAGACCTACCGGGTATGCCGCCCGACAGGGACATTGATTTCTGTATTAATCTGGCTCCGGGCACCCAGCCCATTTCCATCCTGCCGTATCGCATGGCCCCGCCAGAGTTGAAAGAGTTAAAGGATCAGTTGCAAGACTTGCTTGAGAAGGGTTTCATCAGACCCAGCATTTCGCCTTGGGGTGCGCCAGTGTTATTTGTGAAGAAAAAGGATGGTTCAATGAGGATGTGCATTGATTACCGGCAATTGAACAA